TTCTCTCTCCGTACAAGCAACAGATATCTTCTCCTTGAACCCTTGTAGACCCTCCGTTTCTAGCGTTTCATCTTCACCGATGTTGAGCCCCTTCCATACGGTCTCTACAACCTTGACCCATTCCGTGGGTTGTCTACCCCTGTTTTTGTTGGTCCACTTCGCCTCCCATACAATTCTCGGCAACCTCTCCTCTCCCATCAAGATGGCTGCATTACTTGTTGTGCGCTTGGAGCATCCTAGAATGATTTTCGCTGCTTTCATCTGCGCCGCCTCGAGTTCTTTCACTACCTTCTTATTTCCTTTCCAATACTTCTCCGGCGTAATCTGCGGCGGTACGATTACGCTCTTCAAAATCTTCAATTTGATACGTGTATCGAGGTGCCGGTTTGCGAGTATTGGGTGCGGCTTCCCTGCTCGTGCTTTGCCCTTTTCNGGCGTACTCTAGCGGCGGTACGATTACGCTCTTCAAAACCGTCAATTTGATGCGTGTATCGAGGTGCCGGTTTGCGAGTATTGGGTGCGGCTTCCCTGCTCGTGCTTTGCCGTTTCCCGCTACATTGGACATGTGTGCATTCCACAAGCAGTCTTTTACGATCTCTACTGCGAGGTATATGTACTGGTCCACTACGGCAATCTCCTCGATCCCCCACTTCCATCTATGTTCTACTGGTTCCTCCTTGTTCTCGCTGCATACCATGACGGCACTCTTTTTAACGTTGGCCGACAATCTCACACCGAGGGAGGGTGGTATTTACCGTCAGCTAGAGAGAGAGGGTGGTATTCACCGTGAGCTTGAGCGGGGGGGTGTACTCATAGTCGTGCATGCCGTAGTCGTTACACCATTGACCTCGCATCCCTACAAAGCCGGGACGGAGCACGCCGGGTTCTCACCGGACCAGGCTCTCACATCACCAAGCGCGAAGCGCCGTGAGATATTCGGCGAGTCGCATGAAGGGTGCGCTGCATCCTGCTAAGGGTGTTCGGCATCTTGTGCTTACTTCCTTGCGTACGGATGACAGCTGCGTATGAATTAATTTATTTTCTGGTGCTTTCACTTCCAGAGACAGTTGTAAGCACTGTGTAACTGCCTCGAGGGTGCTTGACCATTTCAACACAACGTGGTGCGACCATCCTCCTTACGCGGAGTGAAGGTTCTCCACCTCGCACAACATGATCTACTCGACCACCAATATGGTTACCGCCAAGAAAAAAACAGATGTGAAAAAAAAAAAAAACGGCAACCTGGTTGCCGAGTTCACGAAGTGAATTGGCTTGTTTTACAACGTCGTTGCCAAGCGACGAAAACCCAATCCCGAAGGCAAACACCGAGGGGGGGCGGTGGTATTTACCGTCAGCCAGAGAGGGGGGGTGTATTCATGATCATCAGCAGCTAGGAGAAAAAGAAAAGTTTCGCTTTTTGTTCGGTGCCTCTCTGTATTTTTTCGAGTTGAAAGCGTGTGCGATGGGGGGGGCCAGACAGACTACCACGGAAGGCACAGGTCGCACACTAGCCCCTCGCGCACACGTGTAGAAAGGCGTACAGCAGTACAGATTGCACCACCAATGGTGGTGCGTAGCAGCACAGTTAAGGGTGTCAAAGCGGCGGAATTTGGGGCCAAAAATACGTCCGGTCCATTCGGCAATATTTGAGGGGGGCACGCGGATTTAGTTCTTTTTTTGGTTCTTGAGAATCCCATTGTTAATACGGAATAAACTACACATCAAGTCAATTTGTTTGTGCAGGCAACTCTGCGTCCAGACAGCAGCATGGCTCTTCATGCGTTACACACACCTGGACACAGGTCCAATAGAGGTGACTGTAAGGTCGGTTTCTCTCGAAGTTAAAGGGCGGACGAACAACACCAAAAAACATGTTTTTTGGGCTCTTTGCTCCACGCCTAACGCGACCTGTGCTCCTCTCGTGAAAGCGACCCTACAGCCCTCTACCTGGGGTTTACAGCTATACCACATAAAAAATCGCATCCGAATCGCATCAGCCAACCACGAGATCCACATGTCTGAAAACGGCTCCTCCAGTGGGGCTGCAGCGCCCACACCAGCAGACCCTCCCAAAAAAAA